AAAGGACATAATTTTATTCCTTTAATATTAGCTATTAAAATTAAATATTAGGGTGGGCATTTGGTGCTCATGCACCGAATGTTAATAGTGTGTACTGGCTTTGTAGCACTCTGGCAAGCTGGCATAGCAGATTTCTGTAACAGCCTTCAGCACAAATGGCAGAAGCTTCCACCTGCCCAGTATTGGGCCATTTACAAAACATTTTCACACTTCTTGTTTCATTTGCTGTCACAAAAACTCTTTGAGAGGACTTTGTTTATTTTCATGTGGTTTCCCTTGTTTTAACTCTTAGCCAAACTAAAAAAAAAAAAATAGTTATTTTTTCAACAAGATAATTGCAAAAGTTTATAAATTAAATGAAATAACTTTGGAAGTTATAATCATTCCAATTGCACTACCTGAAAATTAAACCAAGGCTTGGTTCTAATCCTGCCTCCGCCAGTCTTCCTTTCTCTCTCTCTCTCTCTGTCTCAATTTCCTCTGCTATTAAGTGGGCATGTGAAGGAAAATTTAGTCTTTTAGTCTGAAAGATTTGATGATATAATGGATCTTAGACAGGAGCAAAGCACCTGACTCATTGATAAAGATCGATTTTCCTGACATAATCTCTATTGTCTATTCTGCCTGTGACTGCAGAACAGTTCTTAAGGTAAAGCCCACACATATGCCAAAGATGTTGTAGAGACAGTGTGCAAAGAAGCTCATTAATATTGCTGGGACAAAATCATTACAAGTTAATCAGATAGTAACAGGCAAAGCATAGTGTTTGAACACTGTCATCTTGACTCAGAGTTTGTTTTGATGGGATTGCTGAAAAATTTAAATATAGTAGGAATAATTGACACAAAATAAAACTGACAATGGCTAAAGCTACATGTGGTGCAATTTATTATGGATGGAAAAACAAACTGAATGATCCCATCTTTGTTGGTTAACACTGAACACTGCAAAGTTGGCCCTTGGGAAAATTCCCTTTAGCGGGAATAATCAACACAGAATGAAACCAGTTGTGGTCTAAACTGCTTGGAGGAAAACGTAGAATAGGTGAAAATACTTACTAACAAAGAAATTTCCTAATGACTACTGGATGAATCAAATCCTTCTTATGAAATTGATAAGAATATATTTTGGTGAAGATTTAATGTAGAAAAAATCTAGAAAATTTAGAAATTAACTTGGCACAGATAGAAATATAGTACATTTATGAAAGAGTTAAACTGGTTGAATGGAGTTAATTCCTTAAAAACCTCCATAAACCAGGTGTGGTGATGCACACCTGTAAACTCAGCACTCGGGAGGCTGAGGTAGGAGTTTGAGGCTAGGCTGGGCTACATAGTAGTTCAAGCCCAGCCTGCACACATAATAATAAACAAAGTACTCTCAAAGATCTTGTTAAAAAAAACTTTTCATAAATTCATTAATGTTGATATAATTCTCAAAATCTAAATACCACAACTTGGCAACAATTTGGAGAATTCTCAGATTAGATGAAGGGATGGGACCGTGATACTTTATACTCTTCAAAACACATATACCCATCATTTTACTGGATTTTCTTAGTAGGCTTATGAGGTAGTAGGGCAGGAAATCATTTTTCCCATTTTATAGATACAGAAACTGAAGTTCAGAAATGTTAAGGGTCTTACTAGCCACCCACTATGCTCATGGCAAAGTCTAATTTAGGATATGATGGTGATTCCTAGTTCAGTAAACTTTTTTATACTTCTCTCCCCCCCCCCCCCCCCCGCCCCCGTACCGGGAATCAAACTCACGACCTCGTGCTTGCCAGGCAGGTGCTGTGCTGCTGAGCTAAATCCCCAGCCTCCCCTTTTATACTTCTTTATGCTCCTAACTCAGATAATGCTTTATTTGCTAGATAGGACGAGAACTCTTCTAATTTTCGCCATACAGCCACTATTTTCTGCTACTAGAATCAGGGAAAAGGAGGAGGAAAAGAATCAAAGATGGGGTTTAGAAGTGGGCAATGTATCACTAAGAGAGAGCAAGGAACTTGCCTGTCACGTAGCCAACCTATCCTGTGGAGCAGAGGGGCCTGGATTTTGAGGCTGGAAGAATGGGATGAAAATGTACATGAAGGGGCTGGGGATTTAGCTCAGCGGCAAAAGCGCCTGCCTGGCAAGCACAAGGTCGTGAGTTCGGTTCCCGGTACAGGAGAAAAACCAAAAAAAAAAAAAAAAAAAAAGAAAATGTAGATGAGCAGTGCCTGATGTACACCGTGCCTGGGAAAAGTGAGTCCTGACAAGCAGTAGTGTAACCAGAGTGGGCTAGGGGTGAAGCTAAACAGAGAGTTTGCCCCAGGTCTGTGAAATAAGCTGTCTTTGAGCTAGGCAGCGAGCTTCTCCTACAGTATAGGCCTGTAGTTCTCCAGTGTGCTGAGTGGTAGAGCTCAAATGAGCTTTTTACAGAACACCAAGGAATAATGCTGTATAAAATTGGAAACGCTGTAATTGAATACATGATTTATGTTACATTAGAAATCATATACCATATTTCGTGTTCTATTTTTTTCCATATTCCATATTCTAGAAGAGCCAGACACAGATGTCAGAAGGAAAACAAATTTTAAAATAAGACTTTTTTCCTTTTTTGTTTTTCAAATTTTTATTTTTATGTTTGCAGTACACAACAATTATATTTACTATGGGAAGTTGGTACTTGTACCCAACACATCTTAACTCAAGATGTTTTTCCTATGACAATGCTTCACAGTGTATAGAACTTCATAGGCCCTTACAATAACTCTGTTCCTCTATCCTCACTTTTCTCCACAATATTTAATCCAGAGATTAGAAAACCATTGTTGGAGGAATTGAAATGTAAGGAAAATCAGTGTGCTTAAAACAAGCTCTAGGCAAGTGCGGTGGATTAACTAATGTTCAACTTGTAACACCCAGCTGAGCTGAATCATCATGGTTCTGGGTGTGGAAGGTCCACCTGAGGACTGTTGCCAACAGCATAAAAAGAGGACTGGAGGGGAAGATGTGTGCTACTGATTCTCCTGGAGAAGCTTGTCACGCTGGTTTTCCTGAACTCATCATCGGAGGAACTCAGGTTCTTGCTGTCACAGAGGATGGCTACTGTTCTGTTTGGGCAAACTCTGGTCCTTACCTTAAGCATTGCTCCCTGGCTCCAGGGCAGATCCCTCAACCTGCTGGCACAGATCCTTCACTCTCCTGGTACAGACTTTCTAGCTTCCACTATTGGCCTTTGGGCCTTCCTAGCACAGATCCTTGATGGACTTGCATGAGACATTGTCATGGGCTCTGGGCCTCCAGTTGGACTCATGGAGGACATTGCCGCGGGCTTTGGGCCTTCAGCAGGACTTGTGCAGGACATTGCCATGGGATCCAGGCCCTCAGCTGGATTCTTTGCATCTCTAGTGCACGGATAGATTTCCCACACTCTTCTGCATTTGACTTTTTGAGTAAATATTATAAAATAACTCTACAAATTATGTGTCCTATATTAAATCTATTTCCTTGCAAACACTGACTACAACAGGAAGGTAGAACTTTGGCTTGCGTTTGAAGAATGAGCAGTAGAATAGGAAAAAAAATGTGTGAAAAAAACAGGAAAAAGAAAAATTTGAGACCAGAAATTGAAAGCTGAGAAAACTCTCTGTGCTAATTTAACCTTCTTTTATGAATTGGAAGTGACCACCATTGTTTTATTAATTGAACTACTGAGCTCACAGAAAATTTACACTTTTTTTTTTTTTGTCTTTTTGAGACAGGGTCTTGCTATGCAGTTCAGGCTGAACTTGAGCTCACTTTGTAGCCCAGGCTGGCCTGGAACTCGCAATGATCCTCCTGCCTCAGCCTCCCGAGAGCTGGGATTACAGTTGTGCGCCACCACGCCCGGCTACACATAATCTTGAAGCACTTCCAAGGCGATGGAAAGGCATGAAAAACTTCTAGGCAGGGAAGTCTCTGGATTTGAAAATTGTATTTTTTTGGAAATCGTTTTACAGCTTAAAGTGTTCCTTTTAAACGATTCAGGCAATATGAAAATAAAAATAACTTGAAATCTGACCGCCTATAATCAGTGAAAATTTTTCCTGAAATTTCTCTATGCTTATAAAATATCGTCTCTAACTTCACATAAATTGGACTTGTCTAAACATGCTTGGTTCTGTAATCAATTTTCCCTCCAGAATAAATTATGAATAGTTTTTCACATCAATAGAGCTTAATTATCACTATCACGGTAGACTTTTTAGTATTGCATTGTATGCATACATCACAATGTAATTAGACCTGTATTGATGGATATTTATGTTTCCCCAATAATCAAGAACCTCATATAACAAATATGTACATTCTTTTCAAATTGTTATCTTTTCAAGATAAATTCTTAAAAGTAATAGTGCTGTATGTGTAAATATACAGAAGTGTCCTTTTTTAACATTTGGATTAAAGTTGCCAAATCGCCCTCAGATTTGCAGGGAGACCCGTGAGGAAGCATTAATTCTAGCGTGAGCAGGGGTAAAGGAGATGGCGAGGAAAGTACAGAACCACAGGTGATCTACCCATTTAGGCCTATCTCGGTGGCCTGGTATATTCCTTCCGTCCCTTTTTCCTCTTTCACTTTTTCTTAACATGGAGGAAGAACGAAGAACTTCATCTCCCAGCATTTCATAGGGACCACACTGCCTGGGAACTGTAGTACCAGGTCTGAGAAGGGCACGGAAGGAGGAGGGTAGAAGGCTGTGGGGCATGCTGGGAGATGTAGTCCAGCGGGCCGCGACAGGTATCGGTAGATTGGAGACATTGGGAACTTCGCCACCTGGGGATGGAGCTGCAGAATGACCTGACTCTTCTCAAAGGTGGTGTTTGAGTTTACTAAAGCCACCGGCGGACGGCTGATTTCCTCCCACTGTCTGTTCTACGGAGGGTGCGGCCACTCAGCACTGGCGCGCCTAGGGAGGCTCAGGCCGCGCGCTGGCCGGAGCAGGGCATGCCGGGAATTGTGGTCCTGGCGCTCTGAGGCTGTGGGACGTGTCGCGCCGCCGTGCCGCCGCCTCCTCCCCCGCCCTTCTCAGCGGTCCCCAGCCCTCTCCCTCCGCCTCCTCCTCCCTTGCCCGCAGCGGAGAGTCCCCTCCCCCAACCCGTCGGGCTCCTCCGCGGCTACTGCAGAGGATTCAGAGCCGAGTCGCTGAGGAGGAGGAGGCTTCTGTCCCTGCGCGCCATCCGCCACTCTACTGGACACGGGCGAGGGAGCGAGAGCGTCGCCGCTGTAGCCTCCAGAGAAGACAAGGGCATCGCTGCTTCAGCCGCCGCCGCCGCCGTTTTCGCGTGCAGCCGCTCACCGGTGAGGAGACCGCCCCCCCTGCGGCTGCCCCGGCCCGGACGGGCCCCGGCCCCGGCCGCGGTCTCGGTCTCGGTCTGGCCCCGGCCCCGGCCCTCTCTTCTAGATCCTGGGCTGCCGGTGCTGGGGTGAATGAGAGTGGGGTTGGGGGGAGGGGGCTGAGGTCGCGATGGAACGGCGGGCTGGCGGGGGAGACTTGTCCGGGCGCGGGCTGGGGGTGGGGTGAGGGTGCGACCTAAGCAGGTTGAGGGGAGGGGGACTTCTAATGGGGCAAGGACCAGACCTGGGGCAGGGACGTGGGGTGGGGGAAAGGGGTGGAATTTGGGATGGTCTCAGGCAGAGGTGAAAGATGAGACAGGGGTGGGATGGCTTTAATGGGGGAGGGGACTGAATGAGGGTGGTGGTTTGGGGTTGGCCCGGAGCAGTTGACAGCTTGAGATCTGAGCCCGGGTGGGGGATGATTTTAATACAAAGTGGGATGTAAACGGTTGGATAGGACCCTGGGGAATGTTAATTCACGGAGACGGAATGTGAGGTGGACCTGAGGCAGGGTAATGGAGGTAGCAGGAGCAGGCGAAGAGGGGCTCTGCATAGGTTGAGACCTGAGTTTAAAGTAGGCGTTTGTCATCTGGGGATGGTGGAATTTGTGGGAATTTATGGAATTAGTCTGGGTATAGGACAGCAGAGGAGATGGCATTGGGGGTGTTTCTGGGGTGCGCTGATGGGTACTGGAATAGGAGCGGTAGGGGTGAGACTTCAGTGGGGGGAATATGATGGTGAGCTGGCAGGAGTTGGGTAATTTGGAAGGTAGGCCATAAAGGGGAGGGCAAGAATTGAAACGGGGTGGGATATAGTGGGGTAGGATTTAGGGTGATCTTTGCCTCACTGGAGGGGGCTTGGTGGCTCCCAGGTTGCCGTGTGGAGGCAGAGTACCTAAAGCTGCTGCTAGGCTGGACTCGGAGAGAATAGTGGCAGGTGGTGAGCAAGGGTGGGGGATGGTACTTGAATTAAATGTCCCTTGGCCAAGGTGGCAGAGAGAGTTTTGGAGAATGAACATCTGCGATGAACTGGAGAGATGGTTGTGGATGGTAAGGTGGCAGAAGCGAAATTTAAGGTGTGAGAGACCTGGAGTTGTTGGTATGGATGGGGCAGAGAGGTTGGAGAGGGGCAGTGAGTGGTGCTGAGAAGGAATGGGTTGGATTATTCTCGAGGGGAAGGATTGGGATGTCCTCCTGGAGACACAAGAGCTTTAGGGGTTGCACACTAATTAAAAGGTTGTTAGAGGGGACTTTGCCAGGGACAGAAGGTACGTTAAAGATTCTCCTAGAGGACATCTTAAGCTGTCAGTTTGATTTTTTTTTTGTTTATTTATATTAGTATCATTTGGAAGTAAAGTCAGCCCAAAGGGTGAAGTTTAGAGGGGCGTCAGCGAAGATAGAATTAAAGAGGGGAAGATGTCTTCTATTATTCATATATCATAAAGAGAAAATTGCGGGGGACCCACTGTCAAAGGTGGGGGAGAATGAAAGTGGGATGTAATAGATATCTTTCTATATGCTATTTCTGCCTTTTCCTTTCCCCCTTCTGATGCATTTAAAACTAGTCCTGGAATTTGGAATTTAAATAGATTTGATGAGCTTGGGGTTGTTAAGTATGCATTCTTTGCCTTAGAACTAATGAATGAAAAATGTGAGGCTGAATTTATTTTCTAGGCAGGTAATGTGCGTGTATGCAAAAAGAGCTTAGGTAGCTCCCCCCTTGATTGCTTGAAGACTCCATTTATTGGTGTCCTGGTTTGCAAGGCAATTAGGCCCATTATTGTATTGCAGGCTAATAATCCCGAGATGAGTCTTGGCACCACTGCTTTATGTAAACAGAGAAGACAGGAAATATGGAAATGTCATAAATATTCATTGGTGAGATGGTTTGGTACTGATGGAGTTTTTCATTTGATTCTCTTTTGACATTGCTTGATAAAATTTAAAATAATTGGGCTATTTCTATAGATTAAATTTTCTCCTAAAGGAATTCGAGTGATCAGAATTCTGTCACATGTGGATAAATGAGGTATATAAAGGCATTTTTATTTTGTTTTTTAGGGGATGCTGTTGATGTAGGCACATTGCATTAGCTACAGAAACAACGTCTGCATCTATTAATCACAAATTTGATTTAGAGCTTGGAGATATGCACAGTCTTCTGGCAGAACGCTGATGGAAGGTAGAGAGGAGTGTACATGGAAGGAACAGCTTTAGGGAAACAGTTTTGTGAACTTAACTGCATTAACTATGATATGTTAAACATGAAGTGGCTAATGATTAGAGCTCAGACTGAGGAAAAATGAGGGATGTAAAGAGTATAAAATTGGCATCAATGGGATCAAAATAATTCTTTTTATTTTTGTTAAAGCCTTAGAGTTCAGCTCAAAAAACAAACCATTTTTCTTGGCTTTCATAGCTGAGCACATTAAAATACACATTTAGATTTTTTTTATTTTTGTATTCCAGAATAAACAAAGTTATGGAAGATTGGACTTGTCCTTGGAATTGAAAGTGGTATTTTGGTGGTGGGGAGAGTAGGAGGAAGGTTTTTTTTTTTTTTTAATTGTAATAAAAATTAGGTTTGAGCAGTAACCTGCGACTTGATGAGAGTATTCTCTGACTAGTGTAAGCATTTCTTCTCATAACTTTGTTCTGGTGTACAGACATTGCTTTTATGGATCTGCAGCCATGGTTTAAGGTGGGATGTTTATATTAAAGCATAGCTTCTGAAAGCTCCTGCCTAGAAGAGTGTGTATGTGTGTGTCCCCTACAGCTAGGGTCACATGTGCAGAAGTGATATGTATGAAGTGTTTTAGTATCTTTCCCTCATTTAATTCTTCAGACACTGGTAAAGAAGGGAAGAGCAGGTGGAGGTACTGGTAGACAGAAGCCTTGGTGGAATGAAGAGCACATGGATTTATTTATAAGTCAAGGGTTCTGGCTTCAAATCTCAGTTCTACCACTTAAAAGCTAAATGATGTCAGTAAAGTCATTAAAAATCTTTTAAACTTAGTGGTAATGCTTGTACAACATTGTGAATGTTCTCAGTGCCCTCGGTTGTTCACTGTAATATGGCTAAAATGGTAAAATAAAAATTTATACTTCACAAGGTTGTCAAGGAGAACAAATTAGTTCATGTCCTGAAATCACTTTATATCTTGAAAACAGTATACATATGAAATATCTGCTCACTCTTTATTTATTTATTGTTTGCTAAGTGCCAAAGGAAATGAAAATGAACAAAAAAGCAGTTGTCAAGGAACTTTCATTGTCATGGGAGAGACAATTTAAATGTAGGAAAGAAGTGAGGTGAAATGAAATTGGTGGTTAAGAATATGTGTCCTGAAGTCTATCCACCACTGCTAGCTGTGTGACCTTGGGCACAGTGAGCTCATCTGTAAAGTGGGGGTAATAGAACTATCTCATAAGGTTGTTTTAAAGATTAAACAAAATAACCCAACAGAACATTTAACACTGTGTTACACAGTATGCATTACAACAATATTAGTTGCCATTATTACTGGAGAGATAGACAGACCCTAGAATGGTGAATAGACTTGTGTACCCTACCAATTGGTTCTTAGTATTATGGTATTCTGTTAGTTATTAGGGCAGTATTTTTATTTTGCTTTATGATATAATTATCTGCACTTTGCATGTTTGTACTACATATTTGCATGTTTGTAGTGTAGGATTTATTTATTTATTTATATTGAGGATTGAACCTGGAGTCTTTTTTTTTTTTTCCCCCGGTACCGGGAATCGAACTCATGACCTTGCACTGTGCCACTGAGCTAAATCCCCAGCCCCAAACCTGAAGTCTTCACACTGAGCTACATTCATTATTTTATTGATTGATGCAGAACTGGGGATTGACCCTGAGCTAAGTCTTTTGTTTTTGTTTTTGTTTTAGTTGGTATCCAGAACTGAACTCAGGACCTTGCACTTGCCAGGCAGGTGCTGCTGAGCTACATTCATAACCCTTTAAATTTTTTTTTTGAGACAGGATCTTGTTATGTCAGTAAATTGTTTAGGCTGGACTTGAATTTGCAATACTTCTGCCTCATCTCTCCCACTGTTAGGATTATAGGCTATGCCACCTTGCCTGGTTGTTGTCTGGGTACTTTAAACAATTCTTTAAATGACAAGTAGTAAGAATGTTATCAGTTAGCTTCCTCATATATAAAACAAGAAAAGCTATACTGTCAGAGGTTGCCTTTTTTATGTTTTATTTTGAGACATGGTTTCACTAAATTGCCCAGTCTGGGCTTGAACTTTTGATTCTCATGCCTCAGGCTCCCAGATCCACCATGCTGCTGGCCCTGCCTCTTTCTCCTCCTCTTCTTCCTTTTCCCCTCTTCCCTCCCCTCCTCTTCCCTTTCCTCTTGCCTTTCACTGCTTTGTCCCTTTTTTTTTTTTTAAATGTGCTGGGGTTCAAAACCCTGGGCCTTACATGTGCTAGGCATGTGCTCTCCTACACCATTAGCCTTTGTGGAGCTCTGAAAGAGGACTGTTTGGGAGTGTTTCTTTCATTGGCAGGAATTCTGTATATTCTAGATTCTAATTCTGATTTTGCAGAAGAGTCTTCCATCTGAAGTAGAGTACTACCAGTAGGAAATACTCAGTAATACCTATCAGAAGCTTAGCAATATATATGCCAAGAATTTTTTAAATCTAAATTTGAAATTCAAATTCATTAATAATCTGTTGGAGCTTCAGTTTATTATTTTATTTTTTTTGGTACTGGGAATCGAACTCATGACCTTGTGCTTGCTAGGCGGGTGCTGTGCTGCTGAGCTATATCCCCGGCCCTGTATTTATATTTTTCAAGTTTTATTTTTTTTTTGAGACAGGGTCTCACTGTGCAGTTCAGGTTGGCCTTGAGCTCACTTTGTAGCCCAGGCTGGCCTCGAACTCGCAATGATCCTCCTGTCTCAGCCTCCTGAGTGCTGGGATTACAGG